CCTTAACTTGGTTTTACCAACATTTACTTTGCATAATTACTTTGGTTGACCACAGAAGAAACTTTCTCTTCTTTTTTCTTCATTCTCTGCCCTTTTCAATGGTTTACCTTTAAAAGCCTTTAGGCTAATGTCTTGGGAAAACCCTGGTCAATGTTTAACCTTTCCTCTAAGTGACCCTCAGGCTGTACCTAACAACCTTGAAAACAATTTAGAAGAACTTTTTTGTTCAAAAATGACCATTTTTGTCTTCTAAAGAAAGGGGACAGAATGTGAAAGGTAAACAAAAACAAGCTCTGAAAACTTCGGGTCAAGGGTCTTCAGTTTAGTTGAGTTCAATTTTCAGTCTTTTCGAGGTTTGTTAATGTTTTTTGAATAAAAAGCAAAAATATTTTCATTGATTGACTTGGAAACTTTGCTAATGTGCAAAGTCGATCATTAAACAGTTTCGAGTTTCTCGACTTGTCATTTGACTGTTGCTCATTTGACGATTAAAAAGTTTCCTGTTTGCTGTAAATTGAACCTTTTATGTGTCGTCTATTAGTCGAGTCATTTGAGCATGATTTGGTAAACAAAAGCAATGCTAATCTTGGTTAATGAGTTTGAAACTGGAAAGATGGCGCCTCTTTTATGATGTTTGCTGTGAAACAGTTTTTAACTTATCCTTTACAATCAAATAGCTAAGGTATACTAATCATCAAGTGGCTAACCCAATTGCGTTTAAAACACTAGACAAGGAATTAACATTTGAGTCCGGATTAGGGTCGAAACTCGAATAAGCTGTTGGAACATTGAAACCTCTATAACCTCGTCAAAGCCATTTCAGTTTTTGTTTCATTGAATCAGGTTCACTCAACGGGTTACAACAAAAACAGCCACATTAAAAATAGCCTCACTCAAAACAGCCACAGTGAGAACAGCCAAACAAAAAAGCGCCAGATTTAAACATGAGACTGATAGGTGGCGCTGTCTACATAGGCAAAATTAATGTTAAAAATCGGCAAAAAATGAAATAAAAAAGTTGTTCGAATCGCGATAAAAGTGAAATAATAAGATTCTTTATGAAAAAATTCGTACTAATGCGCTAGTTTATTTTTCGATTAGAATTACATTTGCAGAACTATGATAGTTTTAAAAATTTGATGCGATCTAAGTATTCAATTGGCGTTAATTCGTCATTTTGATAGCGCTGGGTTAATCTTTGTTGCCTTTCAATTTGCACCAATCTTTTCCTTCGTTTTCGAACCACTTCAGTGCCAGAATTTTGTAATAGAAGCTTTGTTTCGAAGATTTTCTGTTGAGTTTTGATTTTATCGATGAAAGTCCACAAATTAGGGTGACTTATCTTGATAGCGCTTCTCAATGCATTATGCCAGCCTTCTACGTGATTAGTTGTTTGTGGTCCGTCAAAATCGAACGAATTCCATAGATCTCGCTTGAACCTTGCATCTTCTTTGAAGTAATTATCATAAAAGTATTCGAATAGTTCGTCAAGTTGAGGGTCATTTTCGCAATCCGCAATTATATGCTCGAAAAGTTCGTCAATATGTTCAGGTCGCACCATTGGTAAGGCCATTAGCCGTTGAATTGCTTTAGTTTTACCTTCCTCTTCATTATAAACACTTTTAAGGCCAAGTTTCTGCGCTTTACGCCAAATACATTGAGCGAAATGGAAGCGGCAACATTTGATTCGTGAATTCGCAAAAAGTCCTTTGATTGCTGATATTGCACCGCTTTCGAAGTCAATCACAAATGCATCTGGAGAAAAAACCGTACCCCTTTGCAAAGCCGCATCCTGAAGGTGTCGAAAAAGGCGCACATATGTGTCACATTGCTTGTTTGGCAGCAGTGCATAAACTACGGGAACCATCAGATCGTTTTTCATTATATGCATTGTGTACAACTGATAAAATAACTTAGGTACAGTCCGAAAGGTTCCATCCATATAAACTTTATCACTATTGCATAGGAACTGAAAAAATTCTTCGGTAGCGAAAATCAGCATTTTATCTTCATTTCCATCATCTACGAACAAAAATTTAGATCCATTTTCAAGTTCAGCAAAACTTTGAGAAATTTTGATATCAGCACGACAATTAGGCAAAGGTGGTAACAATTTCAATTTCGAGTATGAGATCGTAGGTTGTAATGTTATAAAAGGTTGCAATGAAACACCCAAAAGTTCCTCTCGAAACTCTGTCGAGTCAATCACTTCCATTGTAGCTTGATTGTAAATCTCCAGTCCTGATTTAGTTGGATCAGATTTGATTAATTGTTTTATTTTCATTCGTTGATTTCGCGAAATTAAATCAGTAAGGTCAGGTGAATGATTATGATCACTATTTGCTTCAAATTTACCATCGAGCAATTTACCTCGAGATGAACAATTTTCGTAGACACAGCAATAATAACTAATTGGGCCTCTTGTTGACCTCTTTCGGTAAAGATAGTCATTGAATTTAATCAATGGTTTGCCCTTATTGGAATCAACTGTTTCAAAATTCATTTCACAAAAATTCAAAATTTATTCAAAATCAATCAAAAGTTATGGTAACTCGGCTGAAGTTGTGTTAATCAATGACAAAAATGTCTTAGAAAAAATGTGCATATTCGATTGTCTAAAGAACTTAAATCAGTTTAATCTGTTTAGTTGAGTTTGGTTTAATCAGTTTATTTGGCTATATTTAAAGTGGCTTGAGTACCTGTGGCTATTTTGTATGTGGCTGTTTTGAAAGTGGCTTAAATAACATGTATTCCACTCAACAACATGTTAACTGGTCAGACTTAAATCTATTTGCGGAATAAAGAGGAAAATTTATACTAACTTGATTATAATGGAATTATCTGGACTGTTTGTTATTGTCATTCCTGGAAATGCGAGGTTAACATGGTCAGAGTCTGGGTCATGATTCATAAGCATTGTCATTTTCATTGGTGGCATCCGATAGCGAGGCATGTTGAAGGAAAATGGTGGCACTTGAACAGCAAAATTCATTGAACACTCAACAAGTGATTTTGAAATAAACACCGAAACACAGATCACATTGAATATCCAATTTACTTTCATGTTCACTGATTAACACTGGAAATTGAATTGAAAATCACATTGATGCATGTAAACCATAGCTGAATATGAAAAGCACTTTTGAGCCAAAACGGTTTACCAACAATAAACAATTGAACTCATTCAAAGGGTGCAAATGAACAAATCTTTAATCATTTACTTTCTAATCATTTAAGATGTAAACAAGTTTCCCTCCTCTTTTCAGCTCAAATATTAATTTGTTTTTAGCCAGTTAATTATAATTATTACAATTGATAACAAAATTTATTTCTGTATTGGTTGTTAAACTAAGAAACAATTGATCTTAATACATGTCAGGTTATGCTTGGGTTACTATTGCTTCAATTATAACTGTTTGTTTCGTTACTTAACATCGTTAAATATTTGGGACATTTTGTTGTTTCTTATGTTCGCTTATTGGTTTAAAGTTTTTTAAAGTTTAACAATAATTGGTTAACTTACTAATTGTGATACTTTATTAATCGATCGTATTTAACATGTGCTTTAAATATCAATGTCAGGAATATTCGTATCAATAATTTCTTGATTAATCAAGTTTCAATTCATTTTGGGTTTCAGAGTTTCTCTATTTAGATCTTTGTTTTGGCTTTTACTATTTGACTTTCGTTGATTTAACCCAAAGCTTAGCCTTTGGAGTAAAATTTGAGACTTGGATTTTGGGTTGCAACCCAATGAACAACTGAAATTATTTTTTCGTTCCATTGCTTTTCCATTTTAAATCTTCACCCTCATGAATAATAAAGAGCAAAATGATTAACTGATGACACACATTTTGATGAATTTTGATTAAATGTCAACTGAATTAATTAACCTTCAACTTGATTAACAATTTAGTCTAATTGAAAACGATTTTCCCGCAAAATTAATAACTCTACACAATTTTGTTCAATTTAATGCAAAAATTGAATCGAGAAAAATGTCAAAAGCTAATCGGTTAATCATTACTTGATATAATAAAAGTACAAAAAATGTATCAATTTAATTAGTTGAATAATATTTGGCGACAAAAAAGACTGTGAAAGCCACAAGAATATTGAATATTCAATATTCAAAAACGGAACAAAAAAAGGTGATAATGATGATGAAGAAAGGTAAGTAAAGATGAAGAAGGAGTGAAGATTAATTGATGTAATACATTTTTTAGCTTAATTACATTGCAACCAATCATCAAGTTAAATATCAAATTCACATCACGTTGGTCAATGAATTGACAGTGAAAAGTGTAATCGTGACAATTTGATGGCAAAAAGGCAAAAAGACAAAGAGTAAAGTGAAAAGGTGAAAAACAAAAGAAGTAAAAACAATAACAACAATCATTAAGTCCAGGTATGGACCATGATGATGGAAACTTATCAATACTTATTCATTGCAAAATGTCTCCCTCTTTTCATTCCCTTCCGGACTCCTTCATAATTTTATCGACCTTCCCTTTCTTCCGGTCTCACAATTCTCTGTCTACTTTCCTTTCATCATCCATTCCCTAAACTCAGACAGTTCAGTCTCACACTTTTGTTGTTTCACGTCCAGTCTTTCCCATTCAACCGTTTCCTTAAATAGTTTCACCTTCTTAAGACAAGTTCAATTGATAATTATAGATGCAAAAATGATATTTAAATTGCTATTATTATGTTGATCAATTTTTTGCCTGACATTTCATTTCGTCTGGACCAATCTCAATGTTCATCTATTTAAACTCGTTCAGCCAATCCTTTGGTTAGTCGATCATCAACCAACAGTTGATTTCAAGTCAAGTTTTATTGTTATGTTGCTTTGAATCAACTCATGTCGTTGATCCCATCAATTAAGACGCAATCATTTCATCGAATTAACTAAGGAATTCTATGCAATTAGAACAAGGAAATTGAAACAATTAGGTAAGAATAAATTTAATTTGATTCGTTCATTGATCTTCGAGAAGATCTGACACTTTAAAATGTCAATTCCAACCCTTGCAATCAATCACTTAAACCCAAGAATGCTGAAGTTTCTCAAGTTAATATCAAAACTCGAATTTTTCTATCATAAGAAAAACCTTAAAACCGAAAATATTTCAATGCATATTTCAATTCGATAATTGCATGAGATTTATAATACAATTCATGTTCGAACATGAGATTGAAAAGTTTCCATTTACATCAGAAACGAATCTAGAATTTAGAACAAAATTTTTCGTCAAATTTTTTTTCAGTGAAAATTCCAAAACTTGTAAAGTAACAATTTGTAAATTGCTTTAAATTAGAATGACTTTTGAAAAGTCAAATGGTTAGGTTAATAAAAGTAGTTATTAAATTAATGAGCTGAGCATTCATGAAACAAGAATAAAACTCTAATCTGTATTCAAAGTTGATAATGAAAAAGGGGAAAAATTGTCCAAAAAATAGATTAGAAAAGTTGTGACCTTGATTGTTGTAATAAAAAAATGAGTTTTAATTTGCTCTTTATTATCCATCTATTATATTCACCTGAATTCCCCATGGATCAGATGATAACAAGTACAAAAAACAAAGACTCGTAACAACGAGAACAAAACAAATCTCTGTTGTCCTACTCTGAGTCACAAGTAGCCCGTAACCATCAGAAGCCATATGAAGATAACAGAAATGATAATATTTCTAGGTTTTCAGTTAATGAGCAAATTGAACCATTTTCATTGATGAGGAAACAAAAGCAAAGTAAATTGCCATTTTGATGGATTAACAGTTTATCAAGTTTATTTGCGTTCCGGTTTAGGTTAAGTTCATGTGACAAACCTTCAAGTCAATTAATGTAAATCACATTTTTGGTCAGTTTTTTTTTCTGGCAATTTCATTGCTCGAAAGTGATTGTCAACATTTTATTCATTTTCATGATAATGGTGCAAGGATATTGACCGTTTATTCAAGTAAAACTGTTTGAGGGAAACATTGAACATTCAGTAAAAGTTGTACAAAGATGAAGTTATATCCTGTTATCTGAGTTTCAACTCATCTTTTCATATTCATAAACAGTTTTGCAAACCAACTCAACCATAATCACAATAAATTTGGACGATTTGTCCTCTTAACAAAACATCATCATTATTATTATTGCTATTGTCATCATGCTTTTCATTGTCCTCACTCGACTCTGGTTCACTTTAAGCCCATCCTTTTCATAATTAACTTTAATTCTGCACTTGATATATAAACATTTTTGAATAAACATCAATCTTTCAAAATTTCCCTCTCATTTTGTCATTCTTTCTTTTCTCTTAATGTGCAACATTTTGCAGAACTTTAAAGAATACATTTCACCCTGAAAATTGGGAAACTATGAGTTTGGCCATTTTTATGTTACAATTGGACTTTCAATCAACTGCTGATCTATCAACTTGCAAACAGTTTATGCATCAATCGATGTGAAGTCATTTGGTTCTGTTTATAACAATATCTGTTCAAGTGCAAACACAAAAGGTTCAAAATGGAGAAAAGTTCATTAATATGGATTCCAATTTGTTTCCAGTTTCTAGTTTCAAGTAAGTTTACTGTGATTATCATATTGCTCAATGGATTCAGTTCCGATTCATATTCTTTTGCATGTCTTCTTGAGGAGTTTATCGAGAAAAGAAGAAGTAAAACATTTAATTAAAAATTTTTGATGAATTTTTCTGAATTAGAAGAAATCATAAACTTCTGTGGAAACGCTCAAAATTATGAAAGAAACTAAGAAAATATAAAGACATAACATTTGAAAAGACTAACTTAAGCGACGAAAACTGTTTCGAAATATAATAATAATATTTGTATTTAGCACAAGTTTCCTAGTTGAAAGTGAATAAGTCTTTGCTCGAAAATGAAAAGTATTTTATTTGGACTTTTGGTTTTCTTCGACAAGTTTTCTTCGAAAATGATTTTATTGTGAATGTTTGATCATGATTATCTTCATTATTGATAGATAACTTGTAGCTAGTTCTTAATCGTTTGGACAATCTTTAATCTCTACTGAGCACTCGAGATGCTAATCAAACTTCACTCACGCAAAGGCAGGTAACAGATAAAGTTTCGCACATTTATCATGTTCAGCTTGTTCAATAATCAAAGTTTTAATTTCATTACTGGTTGTAACCATATTGGTAATGAGTTGTAATTGAATTGATTCATTTAGAGTGGAATTCGACATTAAGAAATTCCACTCAAGATGAACAGTTTACTCAATTTGTTCAATTTGGTTTGCTTGGAATAACTCGACATAAAAGAATGTCCAATGTGACTAAAGTTCATCCGAACTCAAGTAACTGTGAAAAAGTATAAATATAAAGTTATTCTTAGACTGTTAGGACGTAATCAAAGTTCAAAGTGTTAGTAAATGATTCAGTTGACTCAAAGTTCAGTCAATATCGATTTTCATTATTAATGAGTAAAATAAATCCGTGGGTTTTAGTGATCTATTGAGTGATGAATGTGACGTTTAGAGTTGATTCAATTACTTAACATTCATTTTGAGTGAAAATTCATTATCGATTACGAAACTTACTGAAAAATTGATCGAATAATTATTCTTATTTTATCCAGACTTTTACCTGAATATTACTTCATATGCCTTTTACTTGGAAAGTGAATCTGGTTCAAATAGTTCGATACTTACCATCCATGGGTCATCGAATGATAACATTAATGATTCCCTTGAATTATCGACTGACCTGGTAAGTCGTCTAGACGATCCACTCTTGCTTAATGCAACCTCTGACATTCCCATCTGGGACAGTTCAAACATCGACAATGAGCCAATAAATGAAACAATAAAAACTTTAGTAGACTCTTTAGATAACCTGACAACTCCTGTTTATATTGATGAACTTGAAAACTCGAGTAAAGCGTACAATTTCAGTGAAACTACAACTTTAACCAGCATATCATCGTTAGGTACTAATGAAAGTCTAACTAATTCAACGACAATAAGTGAAAGTACAATTACAACTCAACCAGAGTCGAGTGAAGCAACAAGCACAACCCAAGCAACAGTTGATTTAACCACAACATCAAACCCATCATTAGTATCTAATGGTTCATTGGTTTCATCAATCAACTCATCTCACGTAACCTACGTAACAAAACCCGAAATTGATTCAAACAAACACCTAAATGAGGGCGACAAGCCAGGATCAGTTGATGAAGAAGCCGATCTACTTCCAGCTCCAGAACCGGGTGAGAAGCAAGCATCTCGAGTTGCATGTACAATGGATGGAGATTTAATGTGTTCCGGATCAATACCAACCTGCTATGGTTCAGGTAAAATTGACTGTGGCTCCGAGAGTTCATCAGTGGCTCGCAAAAGATCAACTGGAAGTCAACGTTTCATCGACTCATCTTCACCTTCACCATTGGCACCAATTCCTGGTATCGATCAATGCGATGTTACTGGTGAAATAATCTGCAATCCAATGGTCAGTCGAAGTGTTTGCTCTGGACTAGCAATTTGTAAAGCAGACAAACTCGAAGAGTCCAACATGGTTGCTTATAACTATTGGCAAATCTTGCTAATTGCTGGTGCCTTGGCAATCATCTGTGTAACGATAATTGTTGTTGGAATCGTAAGCTACTTTTCGTAAGTAGAAGCCTTTAAATTTTGATTTTTCTCAATTTACTATTTTTTACTAATTAAATTTCCCCCTTTATTGCAGTTGGACAAAATACAAAGTCAGACCCGACAATGGAAATGAAATTAATGACAGTGGTTCGAAAGCCTGAAGGAAACCAACCTGTGATCATTAACCTGAACTATCATTGTAATACAATCGAGATTTATCACTAAATCACAGTCATTAGACTAATGCCATTCAAAATTGTATCGCTTTTCCATTTAATCTGGTTGATTAAAAACAAACAAAACCATTGATCAATGCACTTTTATTGCTACCATTTAACCCATTGGCAGTTGATTTAGCAAATGCAATTACAGTCAATTACATCAATTAATAAGTTGAACCATGAAAGACGGAAGGAAAAGTTTGATTCATTTTCCGTATCACTTTCACCCCATTTGTGGTCAAGAGAGAAATGGTCAAATGGAAAGTGAACGATTCCAATGAGATTGAGGTTATTGATTGTTGAGGATCATTTGTTTCCACTGTTACGATTCCCATCAATTGAAATATTTCATTGGAAAGGGTCGATGCATCAATAGAGATGAAAGAGAGTCGAGACGTTTGGTTAAAAAGTTGATTACAAAATAATTATAAATCGATAAAAAGGTAATTATTGATCGAGAAAACTTGTTGGTCTTTGAATGGGTAAAAGTCAAAAGGCTTTGCTGGGATTCGAACCCAGGATCTCCTGTTTACTAGACAGGCGCTTTAACCAACTAAGCCACAAAGCCAATGTGTCTATTAATAAAATTATTATCAATGAAATTGCCGTTTTTTAGTTTCAATTGTTATTAATTAGCAATAAAAAGGTTCAACTGTAAGTGAATCTTCAAGTGCCCTTTATCAACTCAATGATCACAGTCGTTTAACAATGTTAATGTTGATTGATTAAACTTTAACTTAATTAAATTTAATGTCGTTTCTCTTATCCTGATGATCAGTTGGCATTATTTTATAAAAATAATCTGATTGTGGGTTGAATGGTTCAAAGGGAATAATGTTTCACACTTTTCTGTTTACATTCCTCAAGTTAATTGGGTGAAAGAAAGTGAGAGAGAAAAGTTTAATTACCTGTTTAATTAGTTGGAAAGTGAAGTTATCATGAAAACTCAAGTACTTGTTAATGATCTTTGTTCTGTCAAAGAGCAACTTGACTAAATTGAAACTCTCATCAAAAATAGAAACTCACTGCAGTTGAAGAATAAACGAAATGGACTTGAAATTCACGGAGTTTTATCATCACATGTATTGGATCAATTTATATAAATAGTCATTAGTTTGGCTTAATTTCATTGATACCTATTGCAATAAAACATAGCCTCTTGGTTGCAATTAAAATTGAAGTATTAATAGATAATCAAATCAAAGCATTTTGTGTTACAAAGGACAAGAACATAAATCGAGTTAAGGCTCGATTTTCAGGTCCATTTGATTATCACACATTTAAATTGATTAGCTTGATTGAGTTAAAAGTAAAATTAAGATGATTTGGCATTTGACGTCGAGGTGACTTAAAATGGTAAATCGTACAACGTACAACTTGATGTATGCACCTGTATTGACAGAAAAAAAACATTTGCAAGAAATGTTTATAAAATTCAGAGAAACATTAACATGAAACTAATATATGCTCAGAGCTTAATTGGTTCACACCCTGGATACAGATGGCAAGAAATGAACGCATAAATTAAAGACGATTTATTGATACATTGATTTGTTTATGATTTTGTCTACTTTTGTTTCTTCTTCAATTTTGTTATCTTCATTTTTATCATGGTCATCATGGTGATCTTTATCAAAAATTAAGGTAAGATAAATTATACTTTTTATCCGCAGCACCCTTTAAAGAAAACGTTACGAATTTTCTATGACTTTAAACACAAGTTTAAACAGTAAAAAACTACGAAAAGGATTTCGGGCTTCCAAAGAAAAAGCTTCGAGTATTGCTGCTTTTCTCAACAAAAGCTGAGGTCTAAAGCTGAGCCAAGGTTTATCGCATCGCACTAGACCCATGAAAACACGTTCCTAAACTCCATGAAATCTGAAACTTTTACCTCAATTTATATGCCACTTGTATCCAGGTCATTGACAAATTGATCATCAACAGATTTTTTTGTTCTGGTTTTAATTTCACAGTAATTTATGATCTGAATTTATTCAGCAAAACCCTAAAATGAGCATAAAATTTCAATAGTCCAAATCCTTCGCCCTTTAGATAACTTATTTACACGCGACTCAACCGTTTAGACCAAAGTCGATATTGGTCTAAAGGCCAATCTGATGAAAATTTTGAAAGGTTGACAAAAATGAATGTTTATAAATAAATGATGAATTAGCATAAATTATGACCAGTTTACCCAGAGGAACAAATTAGATTGAGATGAAAAGATTTTGAATTGGGTCATCAAAGGAATGACAATTAATTTAGTTTAACCAGAAAATGTGTTTAACCGGAGAACAACCAGTTTAATGAAATCATCCTTGATACATAATCTAACTGGTGCTTCTGAAATTGGCGACAAAATGTTCATTTAACTTTAATCTGTTTTTTTTCTCAACGTTACAAGCGTATGTAATTGACTGCAAAAAAGAGATGATAAACGAAGCTAATCAAATGAATGATTCCCGTTTTGCTCTCGCTATCACAATCAATCTCTCTCTATCTTTATGAGCAAAGAGTCTATCAAGTCGCTCTACTCTTTGTTTATGAGTGAGGCTCATGGTGAGATACGGAGGGAGCAATAAAGATTTTTTTTGTTTAATCACTTTAGTTAGTTGCTTTTCATGTAAACTTTGTCTTATTTATTAGTTAATTTGTTATTTTCGTCTTTTAATTTCCTAGTTGGTCTGTCCTTGGTTGCAATTTCAACTCATGATTAACTCAACTTTAACCTTTCATTTCATCTCATTTTTCACAAAACACTGAACGTTATAAGAGACGTTTTAAAGCAAGTCTAGTCAGTTTACAGTTTTAGGAAACTCCTTCAACATGTCACTTCTTTTGTAATTTATTTCCTAGTTTTTTATTACCTTTTGGCATTCACTAGTGACCAGTTCAATAAGTTGACCGGCTATTCAAGTTTTTTTGTCTCAATCTGTTTTGTTGAAAAAGAGAAGCAAAAATTTGGCTAATTTTGGTTCTTTAATGTTTATATTTTTCTCATCATGACTTGTTTTGGTCTTTGTGGTGATTCACTTGGTAAATCGGGCTTGTACAAATCATCATCGAATCAGCGTCACATTCATCGACTTTTATTGGCCCTTCTCACTGTTTTAATAGTAGTTGCTGTTGTCCTTTTTGTGACTCTTTACGCTTCTTCGTCATTCACTCAAGTCAACTTTTTAGGTAAACACACGTCTAGTCAACCTTTAGGTGTCTACCAACATGCAGCTGTATCAACTGATGGTCCTGGTTGTGCCAAGTATGGAAGGTAAGTCACATTGATCTCAACTTGGCTCATCTTTTAATCGTTAACTTAGTTCATTCAGTTGACAGGAAATTATTGAAAATCATTCAGTTATTTTCATCTCAATTCATTTCGAGTGTTAACTTGATTGTAATTGAAAGTGACAAATGAGCTCTTCATCATTGGTGATAATTTTTCTCTCTTTTTCCATTTCTTTTTTGATTTCATTTTCCTCTTCAATCAGCCAGACTGAGCTTCTGTTCAAATAATGATTTGTTGAAATATTGTACTCAAATCTGTACAGTTTCAAATGTCTCTAACAATGCAAACATTCATTTAGCCAGAAAATTGCATTTCCCTATTTTTTGCTTCAAAGTCAACCATTTCAAACAATTTTAATCAATTATCGTTTTAACTTTTAATCAACTTTTAAAGCTGTTTTAATGCTTTTGGATGATTTTATCGCAAAAATAGATTAAACTGATTAAAAGCACATTTTAAAACTAAAAATGCAGTTTCTAATCGTTGCCATTGTTGCCATTTGACTTTGGATACATTTTCCTATGGATTCTGTAACTTTTCAGGGTTAAATAGATTTTGCTATCAAATCGATCATTTAAATTATATAATTCCTGTTAGTTTTGGGTTTAAGTTGAAACTGGCTCGCCAACTTGCTGTTAACCTTAAAAAATGGTAATTTTTAGAAAACTGTTTTTTTTAAATTCTTCTTTTAACTCATGATTGAGTTCAATTGTCATTGAAATCAATCAGCTGTTGCATAAATGTAATCACACTGTGATAGAGTTAATAATAGATGATTGATTGTACAAAATAATTACTTCTTATCTCTCATTCAAATTGATTGTGACTTCTTTTTATTTCCATTGTCAACCAATTGTCAAGTGAAACCAATTAACTAACCTCCAACATGGCTGTGAATTATCACTGGAATTGCTGGTGATCATGAATATAAAGAATGATTCCTTCAGACAAACGTTTCTTCAGTGCATTCAGTTACATAATCTTATCCAACTTCATAAGCATGCAAGCACCCAACATAAACGGTACTTTTGTTTAGTGTTAGACTTTTTTAGGATTTCATGCAAATGCTTGAACTCTCTAGCTCATGATCGAGTTGAACTCATTCAAGAACATTAGGCCAACATCTTGAACAACTTGTGTGTCTATGAGATCAACTTCTAATTCAGTAACATCACTGAGGTGCTTTAACATAAAGTGCACTTGAATCGGTGCTGAAGACTCAAAAATTACAGTTTTTTGAGGGCAAAAATCTTGACTCTAGATATTGATAAAGACAAGAAATAAAATCTTCAAGCATTGATTTTTTCTGAGTTTATGATTTGTAAAGTTAGAAACATTAGACTTCGAAATGAGTGCCTCGAATTATTTTGATTTCCGTAAAAATAAGACAAAACCTTCAAACAGAATTTTCAGTCGAATGGCGCAAAAGTCTTTCGATAAATGAGAAATGAGCTTCCCGATGTGGTCACTATTGACTTTGGCATCTAGTTATTGCATGATTTTTCAGTTAAAATTGTTTTTTGTGATTTTTTCGAAAAAAAACACACAATCCTGTAGGTAGTCGTATCAAGTTTTCAATCATCAATCGACATCAGCTAAACTTAGCATTTCAATTAAGGATTGACTTTCACTCTAATTAAACAAGTTTTAAATTGAATTTTACTGTGAGCCTCAAAGAAGATAAATTGGCCAGAAAAAGAACTGAATAAATGGTTCAATTGAAATGAATTAAAAGTTGCCCTTTAATTAGCAAAACCAACATGTCAATCACCTTACAGCTGAATTACATGGGCATATTGAATGAAAAATGGAAGAAGGTTTCATTGACAGTAAACCCACTTTGCTTGTCTAGACCTGAATAAATATGAATGTTTATTCCTGTCAAGAAATATTTCCTCATTCAATTTCCATAACATAAATAATTGATTGTTTATGATGAAACATCAAACCTGAGGTTAACATGGAATCCGTCATTTGAAACATTATTTGCTCAACAGTTATTATAAACACAAATAAAAATCTGTTTACAAACAACTAAAAATTTAACCCAAAATTGAATATTCAGTGAAAATATTTAAATCCATAATTTCATCCAATTTCCTAATTTTTCTGATTCAACTCTCGATATGATGTGACATTTAGAAAAGGTAAACATTCATTTCACAAGAAAAGTCGATAATTGAATTTTATTAGAAAACTCTTCTGAACTAATATAATTTATCAACCAAGTTGATCAATTTTGCACTGAAATTAGCATTCATCCAACAAGTAGATTATCAATTATTTAATTGTACTTGAATGTAAAAATATATTTTTTGTTACATTTTTCACTTCTGTTTTCTTATCATGTTACCTTTAGAAGATACTATTTCTGTAACCTTGATTCATTCATGTAGCAATCGACTAATTACACGTTGAATTAAAATTGAATAACATTAAGTTTCATGTGAGTTTCATCATGTTTTCGGAATGCACTTAGATTGATTGCTGATCATTGTTTTCATTAGTCTACTAATCTCACCTTTTGTCACAAATCTTGTTCAGCCTTTTGATAATCTAAAGTAATACTTGAGGCTCAACTTGAATCCATTGATTAACTTTGTATTTTTTGGATTCTTTGGAATCTTAATCTTATTTTAATTCCAAATCTAAACTCAATTTATATTATTTGTAACTAGTACTTTGACATTATTAAATGAACAATAAAATTGTCGAGAAATTTTTCATATCAGTAATTATCTTGAATGACATTTAAATTTATTCATTGAAATATTTTTACTCTTTTTTCTTGATTAAGACAAATGTTGGAACGCAATGGAACTGCTATGGATGCTCTGATATCGGTGTTATTGTGCATGGGAGTTGTGATTCCGGAAAGTCTAGGACTTGGTGGAGGATTGTTCATAGTCTACTATAAAAGGTCAACATCTAATATTTTAATATGAAAATGAATCGATTCTCCTTTGAGGCTTCGATTGAGTGAATGAGTTTAATGTAAATCTACTCTTGTTCATTACAGGGATGAGAATCAAGCTTGGGTCATTGATGGCAGAGAGACTGCTCCAGCTGCAGCAACAGCAGACATGTTTGCTGCTGATCCGAAAAGTGCCTCAAAAGGTAGGTCTCTTTGTGTTTTCAGATTTGTAGGTCTTCGTCAACTTGAATGATCCACATTCAGATAAATATGAAGAGAAGGTAGAAAAGGCTAAACATTTATTTTCTCTTCGAAGGTCCTTTATCGATGGGAGTTCCTGGTGAATTGGCTGCTTACTGGGAAGCGCACAAAAAGTTTGGTTCCTTGAGTTGGGATCAACTATTTGAAGGAGCAATTGATATAGCCAGCAATGGGTTTCCCATTCATGATCATCTTTACACGGCCTACTTGAATAACCAATTGGTGCACAACTCAACATTGCTAAAGTAAGTTGACGAACTCAACTTTTATCTTTAGTCTTTAATTTTTCAACTTTTTTCTTCGCAGAAACTTATTTACCAATCCAGCAACAGGTAAATTTTATGAAATGAATGAAATAATGAAGCGACCAGATTTGGTTCCAACTTTTGAAACGTTGGCGAAAAATGGTGTTGATGAGTTTTATCGAGGTTCAATGGCTAAGACTTTAGTCAATGAGATTCGTGAGGCTGGAGGAATCATCACTGAACAAGATTTTGCCAATTATAAAGCAAATGTTTACCAAGCAGTCAACATTAGTTTATCTAATGGAATGAAACTTTACTCAAATGATCTTCCTGGAAGTGGACCTCTTCTTGGGTTCATGTTGAATACCTTCTTAGAATTGGGAATTAAAAAGAATGTCGGCCAATCATTGGAAGATTCAGTTACTTATTACCATCGATTTGTAGAGATCTTTAAACATGCTTACGCTCAACGAACAAGACTAGAAGATCGAAGTTTCAACAGAATTGAACCCCAACTAAAGAGGCTGTTATCTCCTGAGTTTGTAAAGACTGTCGCTGCCAGAATCAACGACGAAAGAACTTATCCTCAAACTTATTATTCGAGTTTAGTTTCCCTTGCTAAAGATCAAGGTACCTCGCATGTATCGATTGTCGATAAGTATGGTAATGCAGCATCTGCGAGTTCAACAATAAATGCCTAGTAAGTTGACTAATGAAGTAACTAGTTGCACGAATAACGATCTTTCCTTTATTCATTTAGCTTCGGAGGTGGCGTCATGTCTCAATCAACTGGAATTATTTTCAACAACGAAATGGACGACTTTTCATCGCCCAATATAACCAATCAATATGGATTGCCACCAACAGAATTCAACAAAATCGAACCTGGTAAACGACCTTTATCTTCCATGTGTCCAGCTGTGATTGTCGATGAATCTGGTGAAGTAAGAATAGCTATTGGTGCTTCTGGTGGAGCTCAGATAACATCTTCAGTAGCCCTGAATATTGCTCGAAATCAGTTTCTTGGGGAAGACTTGAAGTCAACAATTGATGCACCAAGAATTCATCATCAATTTTCACCAAATGTAATTAAATATGAATCTGATTTTCCCAAGAATATCCTCGCTGAACTACAAGATAGAGGTCACAAAGTGGAAGTAATCACCGGCAGATCTTCAATTGTCATGGCCGTTGCTCGTACCGCTGATGGTAAATTGACTGCTAACTCTGATTATCGTAAAGGAGGTTCGATCGATGGTTATTAGGTTCACTTATTTATTCAGTTTTGTAGTATTTATTACAAAAGTCTGCTAATCGTTGCATCTCATTTTTCATCTCAACGACAGCCAGACAATGTTGAATAGGTTAAATAAATGAAATTTAATCAACTAAACAAATCTTTCATTCAAAGTATTTAATAATAAATATTCATTTTTTACTCAACAATTTTATCCAAAATCATTGTTAATATTACTTGTTACATTATTAATCAAAAAGAACCAGAAAAAATAAATTCTTATCAATCTCTCAAGCTAAAGTCAATATAAGAAAAGTAAATTTCGTTTTTGTTTTCTATTGGAATCGAGTTTCAAATTTTTTGATTAAATTTTTTTCTTATTTGAACATTAAAAATAACAGAAACATGACAAGGTTACCATTCGGAATTTCATTTGAAACCAGAATAAAGTCGATGAAATGAAATGAAAATATTGACCTTTGATTCCTTCAGAGATAATAATAACAATCTTTATTCAATTGTTTGCTGAGGTGAGATAAATTTATTCTGTTCAACTGTTTGTTGGAGAAAAGTACAAAATATCCAAAAGAGAATGAATTCATTAAATTCAACTTCAGATTCCAAACAAGAAACGATTATTCTGGTTATTAAAACTTGTTAATTGTAGCTTGAATAAATTCGTGTGATAAACAATCATTTATTTATTCAATTATAAATCCTTGTGATAAACTAAACTAGATAAAAGTGAATATAAATATTAATGACATTTCATTCCTTTTCACGAAAGTAACATGATTGTTTGAGTTTGTTTAACCCAAAAAGAGATTATTTTGATGATTCCGTTTCAATTATTTGTGTTGCCAAAAAAGAGATGAAAAGAAAGTCAAAGTTTCTTTTGGCAATCATTTGTCATCTTTGACCCTTATCCATGGATCGATATCAATAAGTCCAGGTTATCAAAAGAAATATCAACAGTCGAATGTTGAATCGTTTGTTTGCCACCCTGGAAACAATCACACATAGTATCAATTACTCGAGTCAAATTACTTTCCATTGAAAGGGAATAAAGTTCCAAATTCAATTATCAGGTAAACATTAATCGAGAATTTATCTTCTCGGTTTTTGTTTTTCTTGTAAAACACCAAATTCAATCAGATTATTTGAAGGACAATTGATTGTTAATTGCATGCAAGTTGTAATCTAATAGTTTTTTCTCACAAAAGCGACTTTAATGAATGGACAGGAATCGCTCACGTGTTCAATTGTGTCCACGTTTGCGTCCAGATGAATATAAATAACAATCGGTAAACTCGAATTTACTTTCCCTTCAAAATGATTCATTTACTGTTTTCATGTAAACCTTTATTCAGTTTCACTTTTCACAAGCTTACTCGTTACTCTTACTCCCAACTGATTCTGTGCCTTTCTATTTATCTCATGTTGAAACTCAGAGCAACAAGTTTTTCTAGTCAATAATAGGTAATAATGTAAATCTCAACAGAAGAATCAGTTTCATTGATAAGTAAACATGGAATGGGTTCACAATCTATCACTTGAATCAACAAATGTTTCACCTGAATTCAACATATTCCAAGAAGATTTTCGTTCAGCAATCCAAGAATTTATAACTCGTAGTCGCCTGTCTGATCCTTTTCTTCAAAAATTTTTAACTCTTGTTTGGATATTCTTCATTGCTTCCGGCCTCATTTCAAATTCAATTCTCATTCTTGTGATACTAACAACACCCAGCCTTCGATCGCCCAACGTTTTACTACTGTGTAACCTTTTCGTTGCCGATGTAACTTATACACTCTTCTCAATGCCCTTTACATTGACCACCATATTGAATCGATCCTGGCCATTGGGTAAGTTTCTTTGTAAAACAATTCCATTCGTACAAACCAACACGGCCTTTGTTACGGCAGGAACTGTAACTGCTATTGCCATTGATCGACAACATCGCATCATTGGTCACGGCAATCGTTTACATCGATCCAGTTTCCATCGTTCTTCGTATGGGTGCCGGGTATCGATAGTCATTTGGCTCATTTCGTTTGCTTTCTCTTCACCTTTACTTTACTTTCAAAGTTTAAAAACTCTTGTTCGCTTGGATGACAATCTATCGCTCGATGTGTGCCAAGAAACTTCAGACTATCAACGAATTCGAATGGTTTATCATTCCATGGTTTATGGATTTTTCATTTTTGTTCCCACCATTTCACTTGCTATTTCGTATCTTCGAATACGTTCATTTCTAAAGTATAATGGACTCGAGAAGAAACGGCAAACTCATTTTCTTCATCATTCAGGAGTCAATTCCAATCAAGTTTCTAATCTGGTGAAAAAATTCGACTTCTTACAAAAAGAAATTAATTGTAACACCAAAGTTACGATTATATTATTTATGGGAATCTTTATTTATGTCATCAGTTGGCTTCCTTTATGTATCTATAACTTGTTTTTGGAATTTTTTTCTTCTTCGATCAGAACTTCTGGCTCCAATATAACCATCATAACTACAATCTTTCATGTGATTGCTATTTCTTCAGCTACTACAAATGCCTTCATCTATGGTTACTTGAACACTAATATACAAAAAGAGTTGAACTCTTTCTTTACTAAATTCAATCCATTTAAGTGAATTCAATTGAAATGTAACAGATGTGATTGAAATCGAAAAGCTGTGATCTTTTTTTCATTGGTTGCTTAAACATGGAAACCACCAAAGCATCGTCTTTAAAAGAGCAAATAAGTTTCATGGAATGAGATAATGATCTAATTATGATAATGAGATATAATCTCATTACTTCGAATCTCCATATTCCGAAATAAACGACACTTTTGAAGCAAAGCTTGAAAAACTTGTCATTTGTTTAACCGGTTAATTAAATGAACTGTACTGAGTAGGCATTTGTCTATTCACATTATTTTATCAAATATTCAATTATTAAAGATTTAAATTTTATTCTATTTTCATGATTCCCATAAAGTTATATTTATAAGTGCAGAGTTACAGAATTTTTAAAATTCATTCGAATCCATTTCTGTTACTTGTTCTGTTTCTGTTGTTTCAAAGTTACGATAAATCTAACTCAAGTAAGCAAAAGCGAAAAATTATTCGCTAGTTATTCAAAATTTGAGACAATAAGAGTCCCTCCCATAAATATTTCTTAAAACAATTGAAAAGCTCAGAATTCGAAGGCGGTAATTAACGATTTTCTTGGTTATGATAGTAAGAAAGACGATGCGAAAATAAGCTAAAGATGAAGGCGAAGAAGTACGTACTTGTTTGCATCGTTGACTCGACACGAAAGGCAGTGCAGCCAGTAATGACTATAACTTGCAGAAGCAAATGGCCAAGATTCATTGGCAGAGAATCCCATCGTTTAGGTAACGATTTACATCAAACGAACAAAATGATTGGTAAAATTACATGAATGTGGTTGCAATTAATGAGTGGAATGTTCGTGTTTAGTTGCACTTTGGTAATCAATCAATTTGCTTTAATCAAAGCACAATCATTTCATGGTTCCTATTTCAATGTCATGTAATTAAGCATATAATTGTAACTTAATCTCAACAAATCTATAATTTAATTATGCATCTTTCATAATTGTGTAAATTGGCTCTTCTAATCAAAATAATTTGATTTAATTAAGCATTGACTTATAAGCTTTTTCGCGCAAAACTCTCTGGCCAACCTAATATATCCTTAATTAAGTCTCTCAAAGGGATGATTTATATAGTTCTGAATAATCATGAACTTTTAACAACTAGACCCTGAACCTACGAGCCAGACCGACTCAAATCATGTGTTGCCAACATTGTTGAAAGCCATAAAAGCTAAATGTATTCGCATAAATGTTTTGATTGCATTAACCTTTTAACCATCTCTCAATAATCTCTTTATTTTGTTATTCATTTTCACCTTGGAAAAGAACAGTCTGGAAGTTCAATAAGCCTGGTAATTCGGTAATGAATTGATTCGAAATGTCTTTGAACGATACAAATCCAGTGAAGCAAGCAAACTGATCAATTTTCTGATCTCTGGACGCAACGAGTTTATGCATCAATATCAATTTTCCATTCCTATTTACCTCTTTTTCAAAGATTTACAATTTTGTTGATCAACTCGTCAAGAAGAGAAGATTTCGACTGAAGCAGAGCTGAGACCAAAGAGATGTCCCGCTGAAAAATAGCATATCAGTCGTGAAAAAAATCACAGATTGATCCTGAACCAAAAGGTTTTCCAAGCAATTCAGAAAATTTCCAATTCTTCTTTTTCTTTCTTATTCTGTTGGAACTAGTCTTATTCAGACAATCCTTTCTATGTGTTAATCAAATTATTTTGAAGGCTTTCATTGAAACTTATTGTAACATAGCAATCAAGGTTATCCATGAATGATCGCAAAGAAAAAATAAAGAGACATTAAAAGGAAGCAAACAGTGCAAAATGAGTTCATTGAAAAAGTAAATTTAAAGTTAATCAAGTTAATTTACTATTCATTAACTGCACGAATTCTCGGCATTTTCCTTTATGGATGCATCCTTCCTCAGAAAGGATTAATCTGTTCTCTATCGAACTAACTTTCAACGAAATTCATTGTAGCATTCATCTGGACCTTTGCGAATATAACACTTTGGAAGGTACTAAAGTTATGCATTCAAAGCCGAAATGTTTGTGTTCCATTCCTTTAATATAGCAACATATTTATCACAATACGTGTTGCTTTGATTACCATAAAATAATAAAATGCCAATCGAATGCATATTTTCCAATGAACCGAACTTTCAAAGAGCTATTACTAAAAACCGCTGGTTTCATCAAGATACATAACTAAATAACTTTGTCATAGAATCAGCATTTAAAGCAGTAAAAGCTTGGTTTCGTATTTGACTTTTGTCCTTTGAAGGATTTCAATGGAGACATAGAAAAGGAAAAATCGGATAAAAATTTAACATTCGATTGTTGGTAAATATTTTATTTGGTCATTGAAAGCAGTGAGAAATCACAGAATTGATTGATTATTTGGCTTTTATTTTAAGCTAATTTTTTTAATCTGAAGTACTCAATTAAGTAGATATTTTGTACCTAAATTATTTACTCTGAAGGGAATCATGGGAATAGCAAAGCAACTTTTCTTCTGTCAAAATATTAAATAGAATGATTTCGAATCATGGAAATGTCAGTTTGACGTTCATCGTCGTCTTACTTTCTCATTATTTAAAGTTCACGAAGTCAAACTTGATGGAGTTTGTATCACTTCAACTTGAGATCAAAGAAAGATTAGATGAACTTTTGACATGAATTACTGAACTATTTTTGTCATTCCCATACAATTTCATGTTTATTTAATTCTATTGAAATAAAATAGAATCGATTGGATCATTTTTCTACAAGCAAACGACAAAGTAAATCAAGAACATGAATTTTAGGCAGAAAATAATGAAAAGAAATAAAATGATGTTAAGACCATTTTAATCTTCTTTTGTGTCAAAGATGTCGATTTGAGAAAAAATTGAATCAAACAATCCGAGAATCCATTTTTAATGAAGTATTCCAAGTTAATATCAACTAATGATTTTGATCTGATAAGTTTACATTTCGCACAATTACAAGACAAGAAAAATGATCAAATCTTAAACTTCTTAAAAGTCCATCTAAGGCTGTTGCTTCAACTTCATTTCATTTCTGTTTCAGTGTTAACCAAATCGTCGAATGATATTGAAGCAAAATTGATCCAAAGCTGATGACTTCGAGCTATAAATCAGATTTGATCAAACAGTCAAAGCATATTGTCCAACAACTACATCAATTTGACTAATAATGAAAATTGCTGGTTAGTTTCCCTCAATTCTGTAATTTTAAGCCTTCAGAAAACAATGCTTCTACAAGCACGAATTGAAGGCAGAACCCAAAGAAAATGCATTTACTTCGTAGACTATTTTTTATCTACTTGAACCTTCGAAGAGCAAAAAATTGGATTCAACTCTTAGATTAATTATTCTTCCTCCATACTCACGACTCGGAATTATATTTCGTAATTGAATTTACGATGCCATGACTAATCATCTTCAACAATAGATACTTTTTTGGACAAAGTAAACAATAAACTTCAATCAATAATATTCATGCAAAGATCCATCTAACTTGTTTTTAATTTTTTGGCATAAATTAAATTCTAGGATAATGCGAATATCGACCGTTTCTCGTTAGACTGTGTTGTCTTTAGAAGTTTAAAATCATGATAATGATGAAAAAGGATTTTTATTTCTTCACGAAACCAATATGACTTGACATTAACTGAAGATTAATTGTTATGATCAATTAAAAAGAGTAAATCATGAAATGAGACATTAATGAAGAAATGCAGTTTAGATTGCATTTGCAAAAGAACTGAAAACAGAATGAAGAGAATGATGAAAAATTCATTGACCAATTATCTGAACAAATATTGTTTACTAAAACTTACTTATTTACCTGTTCAATCAGCCTGGTATTATGCATTCATTCGAACATCAGTTCTTATTTTATTAATAGTTATAACCATTAAAGGCATCGTCTTGATGATCTTCAAGTTTGATCATTCAACTGCACTCGCCTGGGGAGATTATGCCGTTAACTGGCTGAAACCTCATCAGTTTTTGTTAGGCATCAACAATCTTTGGTTCTTCTGTGGTTGGTGTGCAGTTACTTTGTTACAACGAACAAATGTTTCACCAAAAAAACAATTTTGGTTTCATTCTTTATCCATATTAGATGAGTATATTTATGACTGGACTAAAGAAACCAAATCAATCATCATTTACCTTTTCTTTTCCGTTTTAAAGAGCAATCTATTTCTTGGTGCTGCGTTTAGTTGGTGTCTGTATATTCCGGTACTCATCGAAAGTGAATCGATCTTTCAATTTTTTCATCTCAACCTTGCAGCTTTAAATGCAGCTATTGCCGGCTTCTGTTGCACCGCTTTTTGTGTAAACTTTTCCTTCATATTTGCGTTTTACTCTTTAAACAGTGGATTCAAGTATCATAAACTTGCTTCGAGATTAAGCCGTCAAGTTTCGAGACCTTCAAGTTCCTCAACTATTAACAAGATGAATCGTGATTTAATTGAGTTGTTGATTGAAAATTATAAATCAAACTCTTTTTGGACGCAAATGAACTCAACTGTTTTTCTGGGAACTTTTCTCGCTCAAATTCCCATTCTTTATTTGATCTTCTTTGTACCTTTGACTAACTTTATCAAATTTTCAATGGTCATCCTTGGTGCACTCAACTTTCTTTGTGGGCAATCGATTACCTTTCTGAGTGGTAGTTTCGCTAAAGCAAAGGTACATATTTGAGTATTTTTATTATATTCTCGATTCAAGTGTAACTAGATTGAGATCAGATAGGAGCTTTTTGCTTGTGTTTCAAGCTTTTAAAATATTTTCATTTGCAATTTGAATTTTATTTCTGTAGTTTGACGAATGTCGGAAACAATTAAATCTTATTTTGATCAACCGTGATGATCTAAGGTTATATCACAGAATAAAGTTGCTTTGTTCGGCCGATTATTTGATCAATCACCAATTGTTCTACATCTTTGGACACTTTGAATTTACTCGCGTAAATTATCTTCTGGTGAGTATTTAATGCAAGTCGATTGAAATTATTTTGTTTCTCTTAATTCAATTCTCAGGTGATTCTGGAAATCATATCACACCTGTTGCTGCTCATTGCTAATGCTGGCATTAACTGAACAAAGCTCACAAGGGAACTTCACTAAGTGATACCAACCGATTTTGATGTTCGCTAGCTCATTCGAAAGCGCTGAGCGATGAAAGACAAAAGACTGAATTTTAATAAAATAAAAAGAATCTGACATTTCAAAATTATTTATTATAGATTTTATATGAGCTCACGCATCATTATTTTCTCTAATTTCCCTACATTTTTAAGGTTTAAAAACTCATAAGCTCGCGGCTCA